TTATCTGCCTGTACCCACTTGGTCCCAGCTGAGACCTTCTCTGACTCCCTAAACATAATTACTTCCTTCCTGCCTGTGTTAGCACTGTTCTGAGCACTAGCATGGCTCTTATATCCTTGAATTGAAGTTATTTCTCTGTATGTCTGTCACTCCCACCATCCTGGGTGCTATCCGTGTCTCTCCTATGGCCCATCCGTGAAGATTCAATGAAGTGTTTGCTGGAAGACTGAATAATACAGCGTTTTCAACTTCTGTTGTGACAGCAATTATAACAGGAGGAATGGAGATTAGACTTCAGGAGAAACTGGTGGAAAAGAGGAACATAGCAGGGCAAATATGCTATTCATCTGTCATCTCTCAGCCTGGAAACTTCCCAGGAGCAAAGTCATCAACCACGAAATGTTAACTGCAAGATTTTCAAGATCCGGTCACCCAACCAAATGCCAAAGAGGGCAAGTGCTTTGCCCAAGGTCACACAGCTGGCTAGGGGTAGGGCTGGGACTAGATTCCAGGTAGCTCTGGGACAAGACTGGGCAGATGGCTACTTCAGCCCATGAACCTCTTCCTTTCCTATCCATCTTAGCTCCCTAAAGGAAGTTCCCTTATGCCTTAATGTAATCAAAGGGACTACCTGGGCTCACTCACAGCTCTTAAAGCACCCATTGTGATCTTGGCTGGCTGGAGCTGCCAAAGCCCTGACGATTGGAAGAGGGCATCCAATTATCCCCACGTTCCAGATTGGCAAACTGAGGTAGCCAGACTGTGCGTCACACTGCCAGCTATTGGCAGAGGCAGGATTTGACACTAAGTACTGTGCTGTTCCCGTAGAAAGATCTGAAAAGCCAAAAATCCCACCATGCAGAGTCACTATTTACAATAATCATGACGGCTGGCCTCCTAATGCCTGGGGAATCCCCTCACTCCCACCAGTTCCCCTTTAAGTCGAGCTTCTTTCCCTCTTGCACAGGATGTCTGACTTAGGAAAGAACCTGTACACCCGCCCTCGCACCCCAGGCAGGCCTGCTGGAGAGACCACCGCAGGGACATAACCTTTGACGGGGAAATCACCCTTCCCTGAGCCGGGCACTTGACAGTGTCACTGTTGACATCAACCCTAAGGTTGGCAGTACCGTCCACATTCCGAGATGGGGGAATTGAGGGTCGCAGAGTAGGAATTACTAACCGATGGTCAAAGCCAGTAAGTGGCTAGGCTGAGTCTTGAACCCACGTCTCTCTGACTCTGGCGTTTCTCTTCCTATTCGGCCACGCCAGGCTCTCCTACCCGGCAGGAAACCACCTGAAGCCTCTTACAGACTGGGTTACCTAGAGAGTAACTTAACCTCTCTGAACGCCCCAAGGTCAGAAGCTTTGCTTTTGGGAAAGAAAGCAAGACGCAAACAAATGGCAAACCCGCGGGCGCCGGCGCAGTTCTTTCCAGGAGCCCGGGGCTTTCTAATCCGGAGGGCGCGCCCCCAGCCTCCCGGACCCGCGAAACCAAGCGCCGGGCCGGCTAGCAGAAGCGAAACCTCAACACTCTTCAGCCTCCCCCGCTCGGTTCTGGGAACCAGCGCGCCAGGCTTCGTGGAAACGCGCGCGGCAGCCGCCGCCTCGGGCCCCGGGACCGCCCCGACCACAGCCCGTAGTCCCGGGCCGGGA